GATGTCATAGGGAACCATCACTTGCATTAACCTTTTCTAGCCTGAAAAAACAAGCTTCAGTATCCACAATGAATAAGGAAGATTTTCCGAAAATGGCACAGGACAAAACTATCAACATGCACAAACAGCTAACACTATTTACTCTCGTACCTATCAGTTCTGAGTGCCGAGGTGTCCTGTCATTACCACATTACAGAGCCGTTTATACTGTATAATAAAAAGCACCTAACAATTGAGATGCCTTCTTAACTACATTTTCTTATGACATTTAATTTTATATGTCCTGGATTTTAACTTGCGCGCACACACAGACACAAGATGAACAATAGTGTTTCCTACACATCAACAGACTTTTTCAGTCTCTCTCTTCTTGTCCAGCAAAATTCCCTTTCCAGCAAAATATTCTTTCTACCTGAAAATCTGCTTAACTTCCTACAATTAATTGTTTCGGTTTGTTAAAAAAGGAACCTTCACCATCTCAAGTAGGACGGTTGAGGGAATAATTCTTTTCCATTCCAAAATTGTTCCAGTTTTTAGAAACATGCAAAGTTATTTCATATTTGGAGATTAACAATTTTTACATATAATTGCTTTACATATAAGGAAGCCCAGGTGAGGCAGTCCTTTTGCCTTGGAAGTGAGTCCACAGGGAAACTATTAAAACAATCAGTGAGTGATGGTACCTATTGTATTTTGATATATGGGAGTATCTAAATTTAATAGCTATGTCAGCCACCTGTTCTATTGTATGTTCTGGCTTCTGAAGCCCCATTCAACACACCACCACACATACCTAAGTGAATTTGTAGTCCATATTCTAGTTTCTCCCCCCCACCCTTCTTCCTCTCTCAAACACACAGACACAATCCAGTCCTACATAAACCTTTTTAGTTTATGTATTCCATTCTTCTATCATTTTACTTATATATTTTATGTATTCTATTTCTTCATATTTTCTTAGCACCTTCTAGAGGCTAGTGTATAGTGATATGTTTTTTGTTTTTTTTTTAAGATTTTATTTGTCAGAGAGAGAACACAAGCAGGGAGGGCGGCAGAGGGAGAGGGAGAAGCAGACTCCCCACTGAGCAGGGAGCCCGGATGCAGTTCTCAATTCCAAGACTATGGGATCATGACCTGAGCTGAAGGCAGACGCTTAACTGACTGAGCCACCCAGGCGCCCATAGTGACATGTTTTTATAGGGCTAAACTGAATCTATGCTTCCTAAAGTTTGTTTATGAAACTATCATTCACTGTTCACATGCAGAGTCATTCAACAATATTTCATATAAAACTACCAAGAGCTCTCTACCTAATGAATGCTGTGGAATATATCATGGAATGTTCTACCTGTGAAAATGCAAAGGAACTACTGTTAAATCAGAATGCTGTATGAAAATAAAGCCTCTTTTTTTTTTTTTTCATATTAAGTGAAACTAAAACGAAAGTTGGAAACAAACACCCTTCGGAAGCCTTTACCTTAGAACAAAAAAGTAAATCTTGAGTAAATTTCTTACCATCTCCTGAAAAACTAATATTCTTAAATCCTGATGCAGGTACCTAGAGCTTCAATGCCCTGGTTGCAGTCAAAACCCAGAGGAAACCAACTGCTGCCATGTTAGCATAAACAGAGAAACTCTTTCGGGCTAATATCTAGGAGGATCCCAGAGCCAGTTAGCTTAGCTGGGCAAAAGGAGGGCGCCTAGGGTAGGAGTATCAATCAAACCGCTTCTCTGGAATCACGTACACTGGGAGTCCACCTTTTTAATTGTTTTCCATGATACCGTTGATGTAATACTTATTCGAATCGCTTCGGTCTTCTCCGGCACCCTAGACAACTCAGCATGTTGCAACCTGCCCTCCCAAATGTCCTCCACTTGTTCTTAAAGGAAAAGGAGGAAATAAATACAACCTCACAACCACAAAAAGCAACTTCACATTTCCAGGATCCCTTTGACATCTGATTATACCTAGCAGAGCATTTTTCACCGATACCGCACAATAATTATAATGATACCCTAAAGTGTGAGGACCATGTGTCATCCTTTTATGTTTCTTTTCATGTCCATCGTACATGATATCATCTAAGCAGAGCAAAAGACAAGAGAAATAGCTCTTTATGGAGACATAGGTAGATAGGTAGGTAGGTAGGTAGGTAGATAGACCAACCGATATATGGATGGTGCCTCAGGTGGAGGTTTGGCAATGATCTAAAGTCAATGAGGGCCAACAGTCAAACCTGTCCAGCCCAGGGGGGTTGAGTGGGGTTCTAAAACCCATGTCACCTATGATATTTGAATCTGTACTCACTGGCACTGGATCAACAGGTTACTGAATGGTGACCAAACCACTGCGACACTCAGGTGCTGTATCTGCATACCCACTTAAAAGCTAAAATTGGTAAATAACTTACAGAGATATTGAAGGAACTCTAGACACACTTGCTGAAAGCTAGGAGGTAAGTGAATCAGGGTCAGCCACAAGCAGAGACCCTAGACATGACAGATAGAAGGGACTGTTTCAGGAAGCATGTCTCCTGTTTGACCAGGTCACTTCGCTGGTGTATGGTAATCCCTTCTGCACACGCTGGTGAGACCTCTGAAGCCTGTACACTCTCCTTTACCTCCTGTAGATCCTCACGACGAAGGTAGGGATGAAATGGGAAACTGAGGTTCCCTTTACGAGTTAGTGTTTGGTTTTTGTTTCTCATTCTTGCTGACATACTCAAGGCATTTTTCTCCTAATACTCCCGTCTTCAGTCTGCTGGGCAGGTAAGTTACAAGCAAAATGGATATTCCCCAATTTAGAAGGATTTGCCAATATCCAGATTCTTCCAATAAACCCTCTAAAGAGTCAAAAAGCCAATGAATCATGGAACACTACATCAAAAACTAATGATGTAATGTATGGTGAGTAACATAACAATAAAAAATTAAAAAATAAATAAATAAAATAAAATACCTCCCAGAAAAAAATAAATAAATAAAGAGTCAAAAAGCCCCAGACTTTCTGCCTCCCAACCAATGTGCTATTTCGAGGCAGACTAACAGGGAAGCCCGAGTTTCCCACAGATGTTTCTTAAGCCGGCCACTATACCAGGAGCACAATCTATCCTTGGAGTTCGAGGTAGAAGAAAAAGTTCCTGTTTTGATCCCCAGCTCTGGCCTAGCACACGGCTCTCCTGGTCAAACAGATCTGGCCACTCTGTCCCCTACTCCTTAACCTGCCATGGTCCCCAGTTCCTAGGGGATAAAGATTTAACACGGTCAACCTTCCAACTATGGCCCCTACCTAGTGTCCAGTATTCTCTCCTTAAATAACCAATCACTCCTTAATTGACCCCCAAAGCACCATGCCTGTTTCAGCCTCTGAGCCTTTGCTTACAGAGGTGGGTCTCTGCTGCTTCTGGAAAAAACCATAGTCCCCTGACAGCTCCTATATATCCTTCAAAGCCCAGCTTTTATTAAAAGTCTCCTTCATTTCAGTCGATCTAGATCTTTCATTAAACTCTTATCCTCACGTATTGCAAGGTTTCATGGGTCTGGCTCCTCCAATAGATAGGAGTTCCTGGAGGGCACTGGAAACTTTCCTTATTTGCCCTTAAATACCCAATGCTACTGGATTTAATTGAAAAAAAATTAATCAGTTATTGAATAGTTAGCCCCCAATCCTGGCATCTCTTTTCAGAGGACTCTTTCTTGCCAGGTGAATTTCTGCATTGATTCTGGAAAGAATTTTGTTCATTTAGGGGGTTTGTTGTGGTTTGGGGGAGGCAGATGGGTGTCAGGTGACCCACAGGAAACAGGGGACCACTGGGCATGGCCTTCAGGAAGCCAGAATTTGGAAAAAGTCCCCCAAAAGGCAATGTTTTATCCTCATCCTTGGAGGTCTATTGTGCCTTCTTTCAAGGGCAAAATTATGTGTCCTGTATGCCTATGACAATTAAGGGGTTTTTTGTTTTTGTTTTTTTTTAAATCATACTTTAAAAGCTTAACAAAGGGATGCCTGGGTGGCTTAGTCGCTTAAGCGTCTGCCTTTGGCTCAGTTCATGATCCCAGGGTCCTGGGATGGAGCCCTGCATTGGGCTACTTGCTCGGTGGGGAGTCTGCTTCTCCCTCTGCCTGCCACTCCCCCTGCTTGTTCTCTCTCTCTCTGTTGCTCTCTCTCTGGCAAATTAATAAATAAAATCTTTAAAAAATAAAAAAAATAAAAGCTTAACAAAGGCACTTTACACTGTAGGTTCCTAGGTGAGCCAGTCTACCTGAATAAGAAAGGGTCATCCATCGGTGACTGTGAAACCACCACCCACCTGGTTTGCCACTCTTCAAGCTTGAAACTCTCCTTGCTGCTTGCATGACAGCAGTTTTCTGACTTCTGAACATGTCTAAGTAAACTGAATCTAGAAAACAGTGCATGAAGTTGACAAATGCCTCCTCTCTGCCTCACAGAGGAATGGGGAACAGACTGCAAGCTGTAAAGCTATAAAATTACACAGACGTTGAAATAAATAAATAAATAAAATTACATAGACTTTCTGAGCAGGAAAGTGTCTTCAAGATCATCTAACTCCAGGGGCGCCTAGGTGGCTCAGTCCTTAAGCGTCTGCCTTTGGCTCCGGTCATGATCCCGGGAGTCCCGGGATCCAGCCCCGCATTGGGCTCTCTGCTCAGCAGGAAGCCTGCTTCTCCCTCTCCAGCTCCCCCTGCTTGTGTTCCCTCTCTCGCTGTGTCTCTCTCTGTCAAATAAATAAAGAAAATCTTCAAAAAAAAAATCCTTTAAAAAAAAAAAGATCATTTAACTCCAGGAGAAAATGGAGGCCCATCTAAACTAGCTTGCCCAAGGTCACATCAAGTTCAGATCAGAACACCAACCACTACCTCAGTCTCGGTTAACAGGCCAGCAGCTGACGGCTGTATCCTGAGAACCCAAGGGAAGATTAGAGGGGCATAAAGAATTTTAAAAAACACCATGCAAAAAGGATGGTTTTAAAAGGAAAGTTCTGGTGCTTGCTTTGGCAGCCCATACATTAAAACTGGAACAATACAGGGAAGATTAGCATGCCCCCCCCCATGTGAGGATGACATGCAAATTCATGAAGTGTTCCATATAATAAAAAAAAAAGAAAGGAAGGAAGGAAGGAAAAAAACAGAGGGAATAAAAAACATTCTAAATTCAGGGTCACATTGTGAGCTGATGTCCAAAAAAAGTATTTCATTGTTCTCTATAGTACTTCTATTAGTGTTGTGCTATCAGCCCCTAAGTCAGTTACTACAATACTTACCACTGTTCCCTTCTATGGAGAACATAGGAGCCATTCCATAAAAGTGTTAATATATATTTCTGGTTTTGTTCTGCTTCTTTCTCTTCCCCTGCAATTCCTGTTCAAACATATATAATCTGCTCAAAGACCTACTTGACCAGCCACTGGTGCAAAGGGCAGGAGAACCAAAGATGAACAAGAATATATAAATATGCAAGTCTGCAGATATTTTTTTCCTGGTATCATTGCCCCATAGGGGGTATAAAATGTAACTTAAGTCAAAATCAGCATCCTAGCCAGTAAAAATTGTTTATCTCTCTTAGAAAGTGATTGGATAGTTCTTTAACAGACTCAACCACGTTAACTATAATGACATATACCATTTTTTCCCCCTACAATTTTCTTGATTGCTTATTATCTTAGATACATCCAACTTGTTTATCAGGTGCATGTTAAAGCATGTTAAAACGTGTTATTCAGGTTTAGCATGAAGGTTTCAGCCTTATTCAACAAAATATTTCGAACTTCTGTTGGAATTAATGATTCAGGCAAAATGAAACAATCTGCAAACCAAGACACCTTTCTACGGTTTTGGCGATTGTATATCTAGACCAGGGGGACAACCTGATTTTGTTGTAGGCACAATTAACTTTATAGGTAGGGAGCATAACTGACATCTAAGGCTCTTTTGGTGCCAAAGCTTGTAGAAACAGAGGAGTCTTTGCCTAAGGGATTCTTTGCATTAAAGACTTTGTTAGGCAAAGCCACTCCGGCATGGGAGTCTGATTTGCAATTTGTGCCTTTGTAAAAGGATTAGAAGATCCCTATTGTTTAATGTTTGGATCTCAATTTGCATTTGGAAATGCATGACCTCTTCCAGGTTTAGAGTTCTTTATTTTCATTTTCTTGTCCTGATACACAATCGATACTACATGTTAAAAAATTGATAAAACTGCTTGGCCGAATGTTTGCACTGATTAAGGGAGTGTGATAGATTGATTTTCTCTATGAATGGTGGAGTCTACTTGGGCTCCGGCAATACTGATCGAGTAATCTATTTAGGAACTGACAAATAACTCATAGGTATAGGTACACACATATTTCATTTATTTCCTTAATCAGAATGCACGGGCACTTTGTTTAAAAACAAACAACCAAAGAAGAGAGCGCTACAGTGGTCCAATCAGACACTGGGTCTACAAAAGGAAATGACAAGAAAAAAAATCCCCTGGCCGCCTCGGGACACATTTGAACACGTCTGTCCAACGTCTTCTTTTATAAATAAAGGTTAGAGAAAAATTATTTTAGGTTTGTGATAACAATAGTCTCCGCTGTACACACTATTTAATTACCTGTCCCTTGGTAAACAACTTTTAACTAATATTTGCTTTGACAATATTCCCAGATTGGCAACATAAAACCTAGAATAGAAACTGTGAGGAGGGACGATTTCTTAGATTGTGGGTTTAGGATGCGTGGTTTATTTGTTTGTTTTCTTTTTAACTCTTCAGTTTCTTGCTCCTTTATCAAAATTGACCACAGGAAAACATTTCTCGTGCGTCAGGATGAATGTGCTTGGCACCTGGACTTGGAATTGCTGGTTGAATGAGCTGGAGGTTGATGAAAAGTATTCACATTCATTGAGCACCAATGATATGTCCAGAATTTTGCTAGATGTTTAAGAATTTGTTTTCATACCCATTTTGTAGTAGAGAAGACTGAGACCCGGAGGAGTCAAATGACTTGCCCGAGGTCACACCCTCCCCTGTGATCAGAACCCAGGTCTACGGGCTCCTATCCCCAGGCTCTTTCTGCCACATCACACTGCCTCCCAGATGAAGTAAAGCTAATTTCATTTGGAGGATTATCTGCTCCTCACCTCCTTGGAATGTGCTTATTTTTTAATCTAAACAGGGGATATGTTTGGTGCACAGGAAGCTACATGGACAAGACTGACCTAACCCATCCCTCTTGCTAATAGAAACAAGTAATCTTATCTGTCATTCTATTAAAAAGACACCACATTCCTCTATGATCCAGTTTGGAGAATGACTCAAGAAAGGACAGACTGTTTCTGCATCCCAGCACCACCACAGCCTCTATAAAATCATCAAGAGTAAATAAGCCATTGCTTTTCCTCTCCAATATTTCATTCACTGATTCCAAAGCACTTTATGTATGTAATCAATTAGAATAAAGACTCGCAGCCCTCTTGATAGTCCAGCCACTTGGAGGTAAGCCTAAGAAAGTTTGTTGCTGAAGAGCGCACACTCGGAGAACACCGGCAGACTGTGAGGTCAGCCGAGAGGAGGGGCCTGTTGGTCCGCTGTGCTTTGAGCCCACGTTCTCAGTCTCGTCCCACGGGAGACACTCCCTCTTTGGCATCTTCCACACTGCTCTGCCAACATTCTCCTGATGCTCCCAATATCTAAAGATAATCCCTTTTCCCCTAAACGGGATCGCAACCTAAAATAGATCTGAGTATGTGCCACAGGGCATGAACAAATGACTCAGAGGGCCATTTCAGATCTCAGAGGCAGGGAAGACTCTTCAGAACACAAGGGCACAGTCTGGAAGGTAGCTAGTACTCAAGGAACAAATGAGGGACAGCTGGGAAGAAGTTCCAAAGAACGTGTCACCTGAAGGCTTCTTTGCAGGAGGCAGACGGCTGAGGCCCAAGTACCCCACATTTCCGTCACTGCACGACCTCATTCTGGCCTGACTTATCCAGGTCCTCATCCTCAGCCTGCACATGAGGCCATAAATTGACCATAAATTAACAGACAAGACCCAGGGGTCCCCTAACCTAGGCATAGGTGGCAAATGGACAGATTTTTAAAAAACATTTTAAAAATTTAAATTCAATTAATTACCATATAATGTATTATTGGTTTCGGAGGTACAGGCCTGTGATTCATCAGTCTTATATAATACCCAGTGTTCATTACATCACATGCCCTCCTTAATGTCCTCACCCAGTTACCCCATCCCTCAAATGGACAGATTTTTAATGTGTGGATGTGATTCAGCATCAGGAATGTCATAAGGGAAATGAGTCTCTCCTAGAAAATGTGTTGATTGGGCACATTTTCTACATTCGGGTTTTGTTGCTGTTTTATGTTTCTCCTTTTGTTCATTCATATCATCTGACTTTGGTTTGTATTCAATTCCTAAGTGTCCAACAGTAAGGCAATGGTTAAGTAAGTCCTAGAATGGACTACCATGCTCCATTAAAATTATCTGGTAAACAATAATAAATAAGAGCTAACATTTATTGAGGTTTACTGCATGCTGTTCCTATACTCAACATTTTACATACATTTTTTTCATTGATTTCCCACAATAACCCTGTGAGATAGGCAGTATTATTCCCCTCATTTTAAGGCTGAGGAAGCTAAGGCAAAGAGAGTCCAGAGTCACAAAACCATTGAGCAGTGAGGCTGGGATTTAAACCTGATTCTGAGTCCCATGTTCTTTTCTTTTTCTTTTTTTTTTTTTTAAGATTTTATTTATTTATTTGACAGAGAGATACACAGCGAGAGAGGGAACACAAGCAGGGGGAGTGGGAGAGGGAGACGCAGGCTTCCTGCTGAGCAGGGAGCCCGATGCAGGGCTCGATCCCAGGACCCTGGGATCATGACCTGAGCTGAAGGCAGACGCTTAACCGACTGAGCCACCCAGGCGCCCCTGAGTCCCATGTTCTTGAGCCATATATTATTCTACACACAAAGAAGAATGTTCTGAAGCTAATGAGATGGGAAACATTATATAGTAGGATCCAACTTGGTAAAATAGATTCACATTGGTGTGTTTTGGGGTATATTTCCATTGAGAAAACTCTAGAAGGACCACTCAAACATCAGTTCCTTGGGGCAGCCTTCCCAGACCATAATAAAGCCATGCCACCTTGCCCCTGTTATTCTTTATCTCATTCACATGCTCGATCTCTCCTCATGGCACTTATCATTACTTGAGATATAATATATGCTGCATCCATTTATTGCCTAGCTCCCCTCTAGAGTGAGGGGGTAGGACAATTTCTAGTAAAATGCCTGGCATGTTGCAGGTACTCAATAAATATTTGTTGACTCGAGTAAGAGTACCAAACCCTTAATGTTGGTGGTTTTTTCCTCTCACTGTCAAAGAGGAACAAATTAGATTCTCTTTTCTTTTTAAGTAGGCTCCACACCCAATGTGGGGCTTGAACTCATGACCCTGAGATCAGGAGTCCATGTTCTACCAACTGAGCTAGCCAGACACCCCAGAACAATTTAGGTTCTTGATACCTAAGTGGATTAGGGTTTTTTTTTTTTTATGTTTCAATTTAAATCCTCTGAGTAAAAAAGAAAAAAAAAATCATTCCACTTAATGATCAAGAAGTTAAAATGGTCTTCTTCAAAATGTAGAAAGTTGATCTCCCCCATAGTGGAAGGTTCTTTCAATTGCAGGAGGCCATTGGAAATCTCCTTAGATAAACTTGCTTTGAGTCAAAAGAGACTCATTAATGTTTCAACTGCTAATCCATTTAGTGTCCTATTCACCTAGATGGCTTTTCTGAGCACCCCCCTGGTGGTTTTAGAAGATAAGCCTTCCAGTCACCAGGCTCAATTTGGCAAAAGCAAAGGACAATTGACTGCAGATGAAGGGACTGACTCAGTTTTTGAGATGAATGGATAGCCGCCTATCTGGCCAATGTGAAAATGAAAGGAACACTTGGAATGAACAGATACCAGTTGTTTATGTGTTATCCCAATTATAAGCTCCCCTTTCTCCTCTAAAAAGGATTAGGCCTCCTGTGAATGGGAATCTTGTCTTCAAGTCCTATGGCCTTGACCTTCCTTTGTACTGTCCT